GAAGCAGCCACAAAGGGATTGTGTCCAGCTGCCCCAGTGGGTCCTAGACCCTCTCCCAGAGCAGGTGAAAGATCCCCTGGGGTCCCTTTGTGGTCCCCAAAGAACTAGGATACTGAATCAGGCTCTTGTGCTCTCTACACCATAGAAATTGACAAGAGGCCAAACAGGAGTCCCTGCTCTGTCTCAGGTCGATTTGCTGACTGGGAATCATCTTGCAGTTTCATTATAAAATGGTTCTGCTTAGCTAAACTGTGTAATGAATAAGCCAGTCTATGGAAATCCTGTAGGAGGGTTCCAGTTACCATCAGCTTTGGGACTCCCACCTATCTTCAGCTTCCTTATTTAAATTCTATGTGATCAACACAAACATTTATGCTTATTGAAGAGTTTACTAAAGGTAACACAATGGACTATTTTTAAAGGGAGAATTTTGGTTCAAGTTTCTGGAAAACTTGCATCAAGATTTCATCACAGCAAACATCTTGAATAAATGTGGACCCAGAAGAGTTTTTAAATTGACTGGATTTGTGTAAGAGTTGGATATTTCTCAGGATTTTGTGGCTTGGCATGAAAATACTTTCACGACCTGCTCCTACAGAAAACAAAACAAAACAAAAAAAACCCTGATAAACTAAGAAATCATCAGCTGGGCCTGAGACTGCATGGAGACTCACTAGGGCCCCAGCTCCTGCCAAACTGAAATAGTAATTGTTTTTCAAACTAACCTAGAGGTTAGTTCTTCCTCATTGTTTCAGAGAACACAATTCAGCTTGTGTACCCAGCTTCTTCTCCATTTTACTGTCTTCACCTTTTTTTTTTTTTAAACATTTTATTTATTTATTTGACAGAGAGACAGAGACAGCGAGAGGGAACACAAGCAGGTGGAGTGGGAGAGGGAGAAGCAGGCTTCCCGCGGAGTAGGGAGCCCGATGCGGGGCTCGATCCCAGGACCTTGGGATCATGACCTGAGCCGAAGGTAGATGCTTAACGACTGAGCCACCCAGGCACCCCGTCTTCACCTTTCTTAAAGGCTATTCCAGCCTGGTGAGTCTGTATGGGCATTGGGGTGGATCCTGAGAGCAAAAGGAAATCATGGGAGGTTGCCAACTGGAAAATGAAATGGTTGGGTTTATTTTTTTAAGTGTTCTTCTGGGCTGGAATGGAGATTAGCTTGGGGAGCTGTGGAGATCCAGGAGACCCCAGAGCAGTTGTCAGGAGAGAGGGAGGATATTACGTGCACTGTCCTAGAAGGAAAGCATAGGTGTTGAATAGGAAGTTTGAGGGCAGTAAAGGAGGACAAGCAGAGAGCTCCTATTCAACAGCTTGAAGCAAGAAACAGGTCATTTGCTGAGAGGTGGGGCAGTGAGAAGGACCTGCAGATTTTGAGACATGCTGAATCCTGAATTCCTGAGATTTTCAGGAAGTGAAGAGGGAGTGGGTGAAGGTGGAAATGGGGCAGGTCTACCAGCAACCCTCAGCAGTTTGGTCCAAGGCTTGAAGATTGGATTCACGTAGAATCATGAAACAAGAGATTAACAATGATTATTAATACCATTTCTACCCTAACTCAGAAGGCTTACTGGATGCCAAGTATACACTAGGCATATATACTTGATCTCATATCAACCTCATAACAACCTTTCCAGATTATCATTTTACAGTGGAAAAATCTGTGGCTCATGGAGGTGAAGGAACCTGGTCAGAGTCACAAAAGCAGGACAGAACAGTCCGGTAGCCTACGTATGTAGCTGGCTTTAGAGCCCCAGCTACAGAGTTGTCATTACTCACCTCCTTACAAGGGAAGCATCTAGCAGGACTTTATAATGACTTCACTTTTTTTTTCTTTTTTAAGGGACAGACTATAGATTAGGTGCTTATAAATGTGCAGTTCACAAACATGAAGGAACCTGGAAATCACTGAAATTAACTAGCAAACCTAAGTGCTTAAACTTTACAATGAAAAGGAAAGTTACGTTTACAATTCCTTAAACTGAAGAGTTTCATCGCAATAACTCCCACTTTTTGTTTGCAGTTTCAAGCCAGTTTTAAACAGGACTGAGATTTTTGGATTGCTGGACGACTCGCTGATTACCAGAACCCTGGGCCTCCCCTCCCCCCACCTTGCCCCAGTTCCCGGCCTGGGGATGAGTAAAGGAGCCTCAGGGGTGCTTACAGTGATGTTTGCCTCTTCTCTCTCCGGAGACTCTTTTGAGGAGCAAATCGCTAGGTGCACGAGAGAACACTATAGACATTTGTGGGTTTGCTCCTTAATGGTGCCCGAAAGGCAGCGGTCCCGCGACAGGAGAGAGCCCGAGAGCTTCCTCCCACACCTGGAGGTGATGGGTGGAGCCGCAAGGCAGGACCAGGTGAGCGAGAGGCAAAAATGGCGGGAGACAACATGGCGGCGCCGGCGGCGCGCGCCCTGAGCTCAAACAGGCAGTCGGCTACGGTGGCCCATGAGGGCCATTACACTCTTGGGATAGCGACTCGCATCTGGTGCCTGGAGAGAAATGGGTGTCAACCCAGACTGGGACATCCCTGAGTGGGCGCAGAGACGGACAGTCGAGGACCACCAGAAGGGGGCGCCCCCAGCTGGCCAGAGTCGGATGAGGAGACAGAAGAGCAATGCCATTCATTTTCATTTCATTTCTCTCATTCCGTTTGTTCTTGGAAGTGACCCTTTCAGTGATACTGCAAGGAAAGTTCTGCTTCTGGAGGGAGGTTGGACTAAATGAGACTGTCAGCCAAACAGGGCATGAAGGGCAGTCCAATAACAGTTTCTTAGTGCCATCTGACTGAAGCCAGATGCAGCCAGCTTGCGGCAAGGGAGCTGGGCGAATAAATACCCCAATCTTACTATCCTCCCTCTTGCTCTCCTGCCTGTGCTCCCCGCTAGCTGTATCTGACCAGAGACAGCACGTTGATGCGGTCCCCATTAGTCAGCCTCTGGGAGCCCAGGGCAGGGTGAAGAGGAGAAATTCATCCAGCTGGCCTGTGGCAGGCAGCCCCTAAGATGGTTCCCACTGAGCTCCACCTCCTGGTATTCACCCCCTTGTGTAGCCCTCTCCCGTGTTGTACTAGGGTGGGTCTGTGTGACCAATAGAATAAGTAGAAACGATGAAATGTTACTTCACTAATCAGGTTACAAGAGGAACTGCATCTTGGGTGTTGGTCGAAGTGGAAGGCAGCTTTCTAAGATGGCCACCTCGACCTCACCTCCTAATAGTCATGCTCTGGTGTAAAACCCTTTCTTTGAGTGTAGGCTGGACCAGGTGACGGGATTCAAATAAGCAGAATATGGTGAAAGTTAGGGATGTCACTTCTGAGAGTAGGCTACAAATGACTGTGGCCTCCATCTTGTTTGCTTGCTCTGATGAAGCTAGCTGCCTGATGGAGAGGCCCACGTGGCAAAGAACTGAGGCCAACACTCAGCTGAGAGAGCGTGATAGAGGATCCATCCCAGGTGAGACTTAAGAATCTTAAAAGTATGATGCCTGCAGTCCCAGCTGACACCTGGATAGCAGCCTTTTGAGAGACCCAGAGCCAGAGTCCCCAGATTCCTGGTCCACAGACAACATGAGAAGCCAAATATTGCTTGAAGTTTGGGGGTCATCTATTATACAATAGGTAACTAATACAGCTTTCTTTCTCTCTGGTCACTTGCTTTGGGAGATGTCAGCTATCCCATCATTAGAATTGCTATGGGGAGCCTGCCCCACAAAGAACCTAGGCCTTCTGCCAGCCCTATGAGTGAGCCTGGTAGCAAATCCTCACCTAGCCAAGCTTCAGAAGACTGTAGCCCCTGCCCACAGCTCGATTCAGGAGACCCTGAGACCAAATCCCCAGCGAAGCCACCCCTGGATTCCTCACTTTCAGAAACTGAAGTAATGAATGTTCGTTGTCTTAAGCTCCAAAGTTTGGGGTAATTTGCTTTGCAGCAACAGATAACGATTATGTGTGTGAGAAAACATGAAAAGTTAGCAAAGAGGAAAAAGGGGAAGTCCATCAAATTGGGCGAAATACTCTGGAAGAAAGTATTTGGTTCCTATTCTCCAGAGTCTGAACCTTACATAGGAGTAACTTCATGGAGTTATTTTTAGTCTCTTTCATAACACATATAAGTTTTCCTTTGACTCAAGGACAAACTCTGGTATTCCACTCAACGAAGAATGATAATGTTAGCTACCTTTTATTTAGTATCTATTATGTGCTGGACAGTGAATTTACATCATCCTTCATAAATAGAGAAATTGAAGCTTAGGGTAAGTAATCTATCCCAAAGCAAAGTTAGTAAAAGGCGGAACCAGAATTCCAACCGGTTTTGAAGCCCTAGTTCTTTCCACAACATTATTATGGCCTCCCTAATAGCGATCCTTGTAACTTTAAATAAAAATTCCAATAATCCAAATCATAAAAACAGAAGTACTGCTCCTCATCCATTTACGTTACAAAGTTAAATGGCCTTGATATTTCACAACAGGCAATGCACATGAGATAGGACTATTCTTATGCCCCTAACACTACCCCCCCCACCCCCGTGGCTGGTGCTCAATACATTTGATGATGACATTAATTCCACAAGCATTCCAACATTTGGGGATAAGGAACGAAATTTTTGGTCTCGATTCCAAAAGGGCCCCAGCGCACCTACAGCTGAGGGCGGAACTGGACGACTCAGCAGGGAAAAGTAGGGAGGTGAGGACCGAAAGCAGAGAAGAAAACAGCCCCTTCCGGGTCTAGGCGGCCAGGGAGTCCCGGGGAGCCCGGGCCGGGAAAGCCCGAGCGCGTGGGGGCGGGGCGGCGGACCCGGAAGTTGTCCGGCTCAAAGATGGCTGCAGCAGTGACGCCCGCCCACTTACTGTAATCCTCCTGTAACCAATGGCAGCGCGACGCTCGGGTGACTCACTGGGGCGACCTATGCATGACGTTCTGATGCAACGTCCTAGTCGAGGAAGCCGCCGGTGCACGTTGGGGTGCAAGGCGGCAGAGTCTTGGAGACGATGTCCTTGGAGGTGACCGACACGACCGCGGGGATGGTACTAGGTGAGTGAAGCCCGGAGACCCCGGGTTGTGTAAGTGGGGCGGTGCCCCTACGTGGGGCAGGAACCGAGCTGCGGCCGGTGGCTTGGCTTCCAGTGGGCGGTCCACCTCTGTCTGTACGTAAAAGCTAGGAGTGGGGGGAGGGGCCTGGGCCCCCTGCTGGGCCCCGACTCGCTGGGTGGGGCTGGTCTCCCCCTCGAGGGCCCCCCTATGTCCGGGGACTGGGATGGTGGTCGCTCCTCGCCCTGTCCCACTGCGAACAATCTGGTGATTCAGCTGAGACTTAGCCACCGCGAGGCACTATGAGACGTCAGAGTAGCCCCCAAATATGTAAGCTCTTCAAAGTGATCGTCCGGAAAGGACTCGTGAATTGTAATTCGTTTTCACACATCCTCATTTATATTGAGATTTCCAGGGAGACCGTATGGTGCAATACAAAAAGGGAAAAAGGGACCACGATTGATGTCAGTGTTCACAATTAGTAGTAAGGCCTTCTGCAATTCGTTAATGTTAGAGCTTCATTTCCTTTAAAGATCGGAAGGAACTGGTATTTATTTGACATCGGTGCACTCTCACTGGGATATCTGATTTGTATGTGTTACTTTATTTCGTCCTCAGTACAGCCATTCAAGATGGGTATTGTTTTTTTCCCCTCATTTTGTAGACAAATAAGCTTAGAAAGGTTAAGTGAATTTCCGAGGGTCACCCTGGCTTTTAAAGTACAACATCCAAGATTCCAGTCTGGTCTGGCCACCTTCGAAGCCTTTATCAATTAGCTAGAAGCAGTATCACAAATTAAAATCATCAAAGTGCATTTTGAAAAGCCAGATTTGTAACTAGTCTGTTTTTATGTGGTAGATGTCACTGAAATAGGCGTGGGAAAGTAATCATGATATAATTTCTTTTGGACTGTGGTAATTTTTACTAATCAGATGGCTTGTTCTGTTTACAAAAATAAAGAATGGATCAAATAGTTGCAGTATGAAGTGACTAATAATTACTGGCCAAATGAGTAACTTACTCTCCTTTTGTAAAACAGCAGAGCTCTATGTCTCCGATCGAGAGGGAAATGATGCTACAGGTGATGGAACCAAGGAGAAACCTTTTAAAACAGGCCTAAAGGTAGTGTCTCTTCTCGTTCGGAAAATGACTACATTTGTTAATGACTCATGTCTATTAACATGTGACTCATCAATAACTTTATTTCAGGCACTAGATTTTGAAGAGAATTTTCAGAAAATAAAATGAGGAATGTATACAGCTATGTAGCTCTAAGTGTTGAACAAGTCTAAACTTAAATTTGAATATTTTTAAAAGTTGTCTTCTTTTCTTCCTTATGCTGAGAGAGAATATGCTAAACTCACTTGAGGAGTTTAGATCCTGAGAAATAATAGTACGTTGGTAAATTAGCATTCTGTCTTCAAGCTCCAGACTCAGGAGTTACTGAGTGTCTGCTCTGAGAAATGGGTCCGTTCTTAGTGTACTGATATAAATTAGGTCTTTGAATCTCAAGGCTCAGGATCACATCTGGATTCTAGTGGTAAATTCACCAAGAGTCCTCTTAGGAATCCATTTAGAAGAAATCTGGGCAGGGGCGCCTGGCTGGCTCAGTCAGTTTAGCATCTGCCTTCAGATGCTAAAATAAAAATAAAAACATCTAAGAGAGTTCTTCTTTTTAATAATTATACTTGGGAGAGATGTTTATAAATCATTAGGAATTTGCTACCTGACACTCTCTACTGATCCCTCCTTTTTTATCACTGAAATTGAAAGTTACAAGCCAAACTCTAATTCCCCAAATCAGAACGGCACTCTTTTGCTAATAGTGACATTTTGCAAACATTCACCTAAATGTCAGTTTTGGGGAGCCATAGGAATCACCTCAACAACTGGAAATGAGAGAAAGATTTCCTTCTAAAAATTAAAAGGTAAGACTCAGCTTCCTCCAGTCCCACTAAGTTCATGCCCAGATTTCTTCTCCCTTTTTTTAAAAAAGATTTTATTTATTTACTTGACAGAGAGAGAGAGAGCACAAGCAGGGGAGTGGCAGAGGGAGAGGGAGAAGCAGGCTCCCCGCTGAGCAGGAAGCCCAAACCCGAGGGGCTCGATCCCAGGACCCTGGGACCATGACCCGAGCCGAAGGCAGACGCTTAATGACTGAACCACCCAGGCGCCCCTCTTAGATGTTTTTAAAAGATCCAGGTCCCCTCCTCTGCAGCGATCATTGAGTTGGGGTTAGTGTTAAAAGAAGATGAAAATTATTTTCCAGGTTTGGAAATTAGAGCTTTAGTTTCCGTAAGCTTCAGATCCTACAGTTGGAGAGTAATTTGTTATATTTCTTGGCTGACTTAATCAAGTAATACAAACTATAAAATATAAATGGCACAGCAACACCTGACATGTCCTCGTATTTATGAAGAGGTGTTCTACATACAGGAATTTTTCAAATTAAATGAAATATAGCCTTTTATGTTCTTAACTGTTGTTTTTCTTTCTGAAAGAGTTTCGGAAACAACTTCCCTGATTTCTTAGTGAAGATTAACCATTTAGGTGTGATCTGCAGTTGACTTCTACTGTCAACTGTCTCTCTTCTGTTGTTCTCAGTATACTTCCTACTGGTTCCCACAGCCACTTAAATTATGTTGCTTCTAGTCTACTTGTACTGGGAAACTATACAGTTGACCCTTGAACAGCACAGGGTTAGGGGCACCGACACCTGCCAAGTCAAAAATCTCCATACAGCTTTTGACTTCCTCAAAACTTAATTACCAATAGCCTACAGTTGACCAGAAGCCAATAACATAAACCAGTAACATAAATAGTCAACACATTCTGAATGTTATATGTATTCTATACTGTATTTTTACAAAAAAGTAAACTAGAAAACAGCAAATGTTAAAATCATAAGGAGGAGAAAAATGTATTTACAGCACTGTACTGTATCTATGGAAAAAAATCTACCTATAAGTGGATCCACGCAGTTTAAACCCGAGTTCAGGGATCAACTGTATCGTGTAGCCCCACTTGCTAGAACTGTTGGTGAAAGGACCCGAGGGCTTCTACTTTAAGCAAAGTATTCTTAGTACATCCAACCAGTCATCCTTTCAACATTCACTTTTGGCTGTTGGGGTCTGTATGCTTTTCTTCTTGGCTCTTGATGACGTTCTAGATGGTTGAAGTTACCTCATAGTTAGGATGTGATTTTGATTTCAAATATGGTACAATGTTAAATTTTCTTTTTCTCCCT